CTCTGAAATTAATAAATGCCCTCAAATAGCTCAAAAAATTATTTCTGGTCAAATTTTACTTAATAAAATTATGGTTGAATTTTTGGGGTGTTACAAAGGATTACCACCAAAGTGATGAATTTGTTGATAATGTTAATATCATGGAAAATTTGGAACGAACGAAATGCCCATATCTTCGGTAGCAAAGCTAGGATGTCGATGAACGTAGTCTCTGACATTAAAGGTGACACACACAATTGGGCCATCACCGGCGCGAAATCCCTGAGTTTTATTATTCTCGGAGAGTAATTTCTTTTTACTAACCTTTGGTTCGACTACTTCAAAAATCATGTTTCTTCTTCTTAATTAATGAAATTTGCCTATGTTTTAAGAGAAAATCTTCAAAGATAGTTAATTGTTTCAAGTTCAATAATCTTAAACGCAATGTCGAAAAACTATGTGATAATAAGTACACCATACATACATAGTCAGCTAATCCCTCTGTTTGATGGAAAAAAACTCCCTCCGGTCGAAAATACTTGAAGTTCTGGGTTTGTTCAAAGTCGGCCGTGTTCTCATCATCCCGTGCTCATGCCATGTTGCGTGCCACTAATGATCGCCGACAACTTGATGCTGCATCTGCACGCCACCACTGTTGTTGTTCTTCTCGTCATCTCATGCTCCTACCGTGTTGTGCGCCACTGATCATCGCCGTCAGCTTGTGCTGCTACATCTGCACGAGCCAACACAACAACTACAGATGAGTTGAACCTTTCAAAAGTTGTTTCCGAACAGCCGATGGACTGAAGGAGCAAAGCAATATGTTTAATTCAATTAAAGAAAATTGATTCAGTGATGTCCTGGTGTTGTGTAGATTTTGATTGCCATGTAAAATAGATGATGTCCATGTGAATTTGATTCAAATGTTAACTCAGTAAGCCATGTTCTGATTGTAAACAAACTTGATTCGGAGAAGTACTAAACCGCATCCACTTTCATATATATATTTTGCTTTTAGTTGGAATTTGCCCCC